CACTCTTACTTGCACATGGTGAAAGATAAACCAGGAAAAATACTCATTCAACAACTTTAGGTCTTATAATACAAATCTCTGTTGAATCACACTTTTACAGAAATGTTTTCCTTGGTCTCCACCTACCTCTTCCTTGTAACAATTTATGACTGTGGTTTTATGTTTATTTTAGATTATCTGATTAATAAATGAGCGTGTGCGCGCACACACACACACACACACACACACACTCCCCCCAGACTCTAAGCTCCATGAGGGCAGAAGTCGTGGTTACTTTTGCTCATCACTGTGTCCCCAGTGGACAGTGTCTGGTATATACTGGGCATGCCAAGAATCTGTTGAATGAAGAAATGAAAACTTTTCAATCACGGGCACGTCCACTAACTCAATCGCTCTCCACCAGCTACAAAATATTAGAGAGACATAATTATACTCGCCGGAGCCTCTTTCCTGTCACTACTTCCCTCACCCAATGCAATCTATTCTCTGTCCTCTGACAACAGCTTGAACATCTCTAGCCAGTTTAGCATTATTCGCCACCATGTTTTACTAGTCTAATACTCTCTCTTGCACTGGCTTTTGTACTGTTTGAAGGCAATAGCTATGGTTTAAGTTTATTGCTAAACAGTGCCCAGGCAGGGGATTTGGTGTACAGACGCTCGATAACTGCTCGTTAAATGAATGACAAACAGACTAGTTTGCAGATTTCTCTTTTAAGGCCCATTCCAGACCGCGGTGCTATTCTCAACCAACCAGATACACCACAGAGTTTATTCAATCTAGGGATCTTAAATGCCAGGTTGAGAAGCGAGACTGCTATCCAAACTCTGTACAGGCGAGTTCACAACAAAGAAGGCAGACGACGAATTCACTAAGTGTGGACCTTTTCCCGTGACGATCTGCTCTGTGGAGTCAGAAGTCCCTGCCTAGAGGAACCATGACACGTTAAACAGCAGGGAGGTCTGGCGCCGCAGAGACTTGGAGCTGAGAGACGAGCCGCGGAGGGGGAAAGTATTCCCTACGCTCCGCCAGAGGCTGCCTCGGCCGCAACCCCTCGGCCTCCAACCCTGAACTTCAGCTCCCTGGCCCCGCTCCCCATAGGACCGTGATTACCTAGCGGCAGCAACTGCGACGGGTTGGTAGTAGCGTTAGCCGCCATGGCTACGCCGGAAGTGGCCTACGACCATCGACGTTGGGACGGCGACTTTGAAAGAGCGCGCTTCCGCTTTTTTCCCCCGCAGGCCGGGCAGGCTCGACCAATCTGAGGCCGAGCAGCGACCTGGCGGATCCACGTGGCTCGTGTCCGCTCGCTTTTTTCCCAGGCGGTGAGATCCTGTGAAATATTTCCTGTCCTCTGAACGTTCTGCCCTCTCGACACACCACCCACTGTGCTGTCCAAGTTTTGCGGAACCGTTAAAGCTATCTTGCCTTGTGAATAAATTCTTCTAACCGGAAAGGCTTTGCAAAACACAGAAACCTTTGAGTCGTCTTTTTTTTTTTTCCCTAGAAAGTTGCATCTCCTCTCAAGTCAGTTATCTTTCTTCAGACCAGTGTAAATCAGTTCGAATTTCCTGCCACCAATTCACTGTGTTGCAATTTTCGTAAAAGCTACTTATTTTCTTAAGGAATCTACTGCTTTTTTAAAAATTCAGTGGATTGAAAACCCGCATTTCTTTTTAAAGATTTTTCTGTAGTGGAGATTTAAAATGTTTTTTTCTTTTAATTTTTTTC